CGTTCATGCGATGGAAAAGGCAGTGGCAGTGCTCGCGGTCATTGCGAGAATTGTGAGGACGGGCAGGGCGTGACGCCGAGCCAGACGATTCCTGTCGAAAGGCGATGACCTTGGTGGAGGTGGGCGAAGCAGAGCCAGGCCCGCTCCATGAACTCCCTACGAAGGGACCAGGGTGGAAGAGGGCGAAACTCGAGCCAACTGCTATCAGCTAGTTACAACCTGTGGAGAAGATAGCTGGAGCCAAACGTTCGCAGCTGCTGTTTCGATATGTCCATGAGGGCTACAATTCAGCAGCCTGCACCATGACGCCCAAGAAATGCCCAGGGAATCGGTGGGCATCGTCGTCTGTGCTGACACGCGCACGGCTGACGGGATCAGGCAGGCGAATGCATTCGAATTCTCCTGACCCCCTTCCTCCTCCTCCTGTTCCTCCTCCTCCTGTTCCTCCTCCTCCTCCTCCTGATCATCATCATCATCATCATCATCATCATCATCATCATCATCATCATCATCATCATCATCATCATCATCATCCCCTTTTTCTATCTCCTCTTCCTCCTCCTCCACATCTCCCCCCTATTCCCAAACCTTCCTTCTCTTCCTCCGCTTCCCCCTCTTCCTCGCCAACCAAAGCCTCACTCCCCTTCTTCCCTCTGAGCTTCCCCCTCCCCTCATCCACCTCCTCCTCCTTGGTATTGCGGAAACTTATTGATACTGATACCGCTACTCCCAGGACCACTCCTGGGGAGCGCTCTGACCAGAATTTCGAAGCGAATCGAGCGGTGGCGACGAGGGCCCCCCCCAAGAGACCCAGACAAGGGAACCCGAGGCAAGGGTAACCTACGTGTCGGTCGGACGATGTAGGTAAACACGTGAAGTAGGAAGGCAGGTTCAAGCCCTCCCAGATAACTACAACATGCAGCAAAAGCAACAGCCACTCGATTCTAAAGGTACGAAGGCGCTTGCATTAGATCGGTATCTGGGGTCCAGAAATGTTTAATCTCAACGACCGGACGGGTAGCGGAATCGGGGTACCTGCCCCTCCCTGGAAAAGTACCAAGGTTTCAGCCTGTTTGTGTATGTTCCGCGATGGCGGCGGTCACCTGCCCCGCCCCCACCCCCCCTCCCAACTAGACGAGCGCGCTCCACTACTCGCAAACTAAGTGCTCGCAAGTGGCCTGGATCCGCCGTGGGGGACCTACGATGCACTGCTCAAGAGGCATACGCATGTTTTTGTTTGACTTTTGCGAGTAGGCACTTTCCGGGTAGTGGAACGCGTTCGGCGACCCAAGGTTCGGGGACCTTCTGACCCGGGTCAATCCAGACCCGGGTCAGCAGGAAACCAAAAACTGCAATGCAGGAAAAAAACTGCAACGCAGGTCCTCGCAAACCCGGGTCAGCCAATACGCGCGGCCGCCTCGCGGCCACGAGCGGCTCCCTGACCCGGGTCAGCCAGAGGGGGCCTTCGCAGAATCCTGCAGGATCCGGCGCCGTGGCTGACCCCCGTTTGCACTGACCCCCGTCTCGAGGCTCCCGTGACGTCACGTTCCATTCCGGCAGCGTCTGGGAATGCCTAGGGATGACCTGGGCCAGGCAGGAGCATCACGTCGGTGGCGACAGGCTCCTCGGAGACGGGCGCGCCTCTCCGAGGCGGCCGCCCTCTCGCACACCCCCCCCTTCTCCTCCTCCTCCTCCTCCTCCTCCTCCTCCTCCTCCGGCTCCTCCTCCTCCTCTTCCTCGTCCTCCTCCTCCTCCTCCTCCTCCAGCTTCTCCTCCTCCTCCTCCTCCTCCTCCTCCTCCAGCTCCTCCCCCTCCTCCTCTTCCACTTTCTCCTCCTCCTCCTCCTCCTCCTCCTCCTCCTCCTCCTCCTCCGGGTCCTCCTCCTCCTCCTCCTCCTCCTCCTCCTCCAGCTCCTCCTCCTCCTCCTCCTCCTCCTCCTCCTCCTCCTCCTCCTCCTCCTCCTCCTCTCGTCCTCCTCTTCCTCCTCCTCCTCCTCCTCCTCCTCGTCCTCCTCTTCCTCCTCCTCGCAGCGGGCGGCACATGGAAGGCAGGCCCAGTCAGCCTCGGATCGGCGGGACATCGGACCGAACCCGAGCGTTCGTCGGACCGGGCTGCACCGGCACGCAGCCGAGATCGAACCTGACCGGCCTCGCCACGATTCACAACACTCAGGAACGGCCAAGAGGGGGGTGTCCAAGAGGGGGGGGTGCAAATCATGACTGGCGGCATGTGCGCGGCCCAGCGGGGGGGCCAGGGACGTAATGAAATGAGAAGAGGCGCCATGAAATCTGGGGAATATCTTGGCCCGGCCCCGCCATGATATCCCCCCCCCCCTAGTCATCACCCCCCTCTTTGCCGCCCCCGAAACACCTCCGTGCAAGCACAAGGCCGCATCGGCCCGCCGGAACATCGGTATCGAACCGGATCGGGCCCGCCAGAACAGATATCGAATCGGATCGATCGGACCGAGGACCGCCCTGGAAGGAGGGGGGGCGGGCGGGCAGCAGAGCGAGAGAAGGCGACTTGTGTGTTTGGTCGGGCATGTCCTCCTAGAGGCGGATTTTGGACGGAAAATACTCAGCAGTCACAACATATCCAAACAGAATCCAAAAATCATAGAAAAATCGTCCACATACGAACTTCTGACTATTTGGAATATTCCGCCTGAAAAGGGACGTGCCCGACTCAACTTTTGTGTGGGGATGCTGGCGGAGACGAGCCGGCACCCGAGGGCGAGACGAGAGCAGGTACGCGACAGTGGGGTGGGGAAGGGGCGCCTCGTGGGGGAGGTGAGGGGGGGGAGCGGATCTAAGGGAGGGCGTGGGGACGGGCGGGGGCGTCTTGTTCCCTGGTGGCCAGGGGGGCGGCGGCGGAGAGGAAAGGAGAGGGGAGGCAAGAAGGTGCGAAAGGTGATCTGAGCAGGGACCAGCCGTCCTGGCCTTGCTCCAGTCCTACCACGACATGTTGGCAGGACGATGGAACGCTCCAACAACAGAAGCAGTGTAGTTCTTTGAACGTCAAAACCGATGGATTAAGCCGAGACGATCTCAATTACAAGTGCTCTAAGACCCTGTCGTGCGAACCACAGAGGTTCTCAGGACGTTCTTGGGGGGACTTATAGGCAGGTCAGGACGCTTCGCCACAGCTTGAATTATGGGGACAACAGCAGGGCCAGCACGACGGGAGATCAGGAAGATGCCCGAGTAAAGGGGGAGGGAAATCTAGAGAGCAGAAAATCCACCCTCATCATAATTATCCCGACACGCGAAGCCGTTTGGTGAACGCACCCACAGGAGGAATCAAACAGGGCAGGGTTGTTTGGAAAACGCCCAGGGCCGTTTAGTCAGTATCGGGCCCTGGCGGGTTTTCCTCACTTCAATCTTCCACCCCAGATCCACTGCTGACCTCCATGGGGCCCGAAAAACGGCCCCCAGAGTCAGGAGAGGGCACAACGTCTGCCCGAACCCAGCCCCCCTTCCAGCTGGCCAGAGCCAGTCCGGGGCAAGCTGAGACCCCCAGCCAGTTCCCTGGCGAGGGGGAGCACGACTTCTCTAGGCTCTAGGGGAACAAAAAGTGGCATGAACATACAAACTCGGAGGTCCGCGCGGATGTCTCGGATCGGCGCTGGTTACCAGACTGGAACCAATCCCTATCCCTATGTTGGGCATCTCCTCATCACGATGGCGATCTTAGGGACTTCCTCGGTTTCTGAGGGTGCATCCCTAAGATTGTCATCGCCTTTGGGCGTGTCAATCTTAGGGATAGGGACAAGTTCGAGGCTGGTTAGCTGGACCCCCCTCCCTGGCGCGCGGGGCGCGCCATGGGTGGCGCCGGAGGCACCGCCGGGGGGGCCCCAGCGCCGATCCGAGAAATCCGCGCGGACCTACGAGTTGTTCTGTTAATGCCACTTTTTGTTCCCCTACACCCTGCGAAATGCTTAAGAAATCATGGGTTCAGAAATTCATAGTCTCAGAACTTGAATTTAAACCCAACATTTCTTTTCAAATCTTAGGATTTACATTGAAACATGAAGAATAATCGAGACTCTGGCCGAAAACGTAAGTTTTCTTAAGCATCGCCTAAGGTGTATTCTCGTCCATCGGGGATGCACTGACCCTGGTCTGTGCAAACCCTGGGTCGGGCAGGCTCCGCGAGGCCCTGCAAAGGGCCCTCTCGGGGTCCTCTCGGGCTCCTGCGCGCCTCAGCCCTGGGTCGGGGCAGCCCGGCTCTGCAGGATCCCGCAGGAGGCTGCGCTCTGGCTGGCCCCCGCTCGCATTGACCCCTGCCTCTACTAGGGCTCCCAACTCCGCGCTCTCGCGCTCCGCGAAGCGCGAATAACTTCGCGCTCTCGCGCCTCCCCCCCCCAAAAGGAGAAGAGGAGGACGAGGATGCGGGGGAGGAGGACCGAGGAACGCGAAGCGCGAATAACTTCGCGCCCTCGTGGGAGCCCTTGCTCTGCGAGCCCGAGTCCGAGGCCCTAATCCACCTTCTCCCCCTTGTCCTGCGCGGCGCCCGCCCCCTCCCCCCTCGTCCAAGGCCCACCTCCCTTGTCCTGCGCGGAGCGCCCCCCCCCGCGCGGGGCGGCGCCTGGGGCGTGGCGACCGAACTGATACCCTGCTCGATCCATCCCCGATCCTCGATCCTCCTCGATCCTGGCCGATCCTCCTCGATCCCCGACCTCCTCGATCCTCCTTGACCCTCGATGCTCATCGACACTCGATGCTCATCGATCCTCCTGGATCCCACTCGATCCTCGATCCTCCTCGATCCTCGTTCCTCCTCGATCCCCGATCCTCCTCGACCGTCGATCCTCCTCGATCGTCGATCCTCCTCGATCCTCGACCCCTGATCCTCCTCGATCCCCCTCGTCCTCCCCGCTCGCCGATCCTCCCCGATCCCCCTCGACCCCTCGCCGGCAAGGGCCGGGCCCCACCGCAAGCCCACCACCCCCGGCCCGCGGGTGCTCGCCGGCGCCCCCCCCGGCGGCTAGGGCGCCCCGCGTCCTCCAGCCGGCCGCGCCCGGCAGCGAGCAGCAGCAGCCAAGCAGCGGGAGCAGCAGCCCGGGCAGCCCGGGCGAGCCCCGCATCAGCGCCTCTCCGCGCCGCGGGCTTCTCCTCGACGCTCCTCCGATACTCCTCGATCCTCCACCTCCTCGATCCTGCTTCTCGATCCTCCTCCTCCTCGACCTTCCTCCTCCTCCTCCTCCTCCTCCTCGATTCCCCTCCTCCTCGCGGCTCTCCGACGGGTGCGCGGGCCGCGCGGTGACCTGGAGCAATCGTGCTGCTGAAAAAAGGAACGACAGCTAAGGTTAGGTCGGGCGTATCCCCCAAATTCCCTACCTACGCTCTGCCTAAGGGTTCTTACCCTCTTGGCTTAAAAGGCCGGGCAGTGGGAACCGTCCCGGGCGGTTCCCCCAGTATCCACCCCGCCGCGGTTCCCCCAGTTACCTGGGAGCTTCAGCTTTAGCTTTAGCTTAGTTTTACCTTCAGGCTTTAGCTTAGCTCTAGCTTTAGCTTAGCTTCAGCTTAGCTGCAGCTTAGCTTTAGCTCAGCTTTAGCTTAGTTTCAGCTGATCTTTAGCTTAGCATTATCTTAACATGAGCTTAGCTTTAGCTTAACGTTAGCTTAGCTTTACCTTAGCTTCACCTTAGCTTTACCTTAGCTTTAGCTTAGGCTGTACCTTCGCTTGACCTTAGCATGAGCTTAGCTTTAGTTTAGCTCTAGCGTAACTTTACCTTCGCATTACCTTAGCTTTAACTGTTAGCTTAGATTTAGCTTTAGTTTCGCTCTAGTTCAGATTTAGTTTAGCTGTAGTCTAGCGTTAGCTTAGATGTAGTTTTAGCTCAGCTTTAGCTTGGCTTTAGCTTTAGCTTTCGTTTAGCTTCAGCTCAACTTTACCTTAGCTTTACTGTTACTACTAATGCTGCTTCCCTGGGGGCCCAACTCCTAGGTAGGGCCGCACTGGGATAATTACAGGCAGAGCTTGGAGGACTACTGCTGAACCGTCTCTAACTATCCCAAAACAATCAAAAGTAGAAACATCGTCACCAGACTATTTGTTCACTATTCTTGAGTGCTCTTCCTGTAGAAGGGGCAGGCCCGACTTAAAGCTAAGGAGCAAGGCCCCTTGTTGGCACCAAGGGGGCGGCCCCCTGAGCAACTGTCACCGCAGGGGAGACTCAACCCCACGGCCGTGCACCAGGAGGACAAGGACAGCACGAGGCAGCGAAAAGAACGGCCAGCGGCACCTGCTCGCCGAAACTCCAAAGCCCGAATTCCAGGGCTGGCAGCGCAACCAACATCGCCGAGTAAAGTGCAGCTAAACCCCAGATCGAGCCTGCCGCGTGAGTCCATTTCACGCCAAGCCGAAGGCTAAGTGCCGGCAGCACGGAGGGCGACGGTCGGGGAGGACGGGAGTCTCCCCCGTGCCCAGACGCTTGCATCGGTCGCGGCAAGGGAATTCTCACCCCACGGCCGTGCGACTGGGGGGCGAGGGCGGCACGAGGCAGCGAAAAGGACGGCCAGCGGCGCCCGCCCAACGGAATCCCAAGGCCCGAATTCCAGGGCTGGCTGCGTAACCAGCACCGCCGAGCAGGGCACAGCAAAACCCCAGATCGAACCCGCCACGTGAGACATCTCACGCCAAGGTCGGGCCGAAGACTCCGCACGACAGGGAAACAGTCAGGCAAGAATCTCCCCCGTGCCCAGCGCGAAACGGGAGCACTAGCTCGACCCATGAGCAACGGTCACCGCAAGGAAGACGTCACCCCACGGCCGTGCACCAAGGACGAGTACATCACGAGGCAGCGAAAAGGACGGCCAGCGGCGCCCGCCCGACGGAATTCCAAGGCCCGAATTCCAGGGCTGGCAGCGTAACCAGAACCGCCGAGCAGGACACAGCAAAAACCCCAGATCGAACCCACCACGTGAGTCCTCTCACGCAAAGGTGGTCGAGGTCACAGCACGACAAGGCCACTGTCAGGGAAAAGTCACCCCCGTGCCCAGCGCGCAACTGACACTAGTTCGACCCCTGAGCAGCGGCCGACCAGGGCCCTCGCTCTACCGTGATACTGTCATCCTTGGGATGGAGACCTCGGCATATTCTTTGCCAGCAATACCGAGCACCAGCACTACTAGGATGCTCTGCACTCTGGCGAGCCAAGTTCATGGCACGCTGCCCGCTGATGGCCTTGCATCGCAAGCAGACGATGAGACGATTACCGTCGGAACACTCGAGCGCGATGCAATGGTGGCCTTTTGCCGCGAGCATCGCAGGGTCCAGCTTGCTTCGACGAGAACAGAGCCCACGTTGCGGGGGCCAGAACTTCCCACCAATACGGGAGGGGGAGGAGGAGGAGGAGGAGGAGGAGGAGGAGGAGGAGGAAAAGGAAAGGAGCAGGAGTAGGGGGACCCGGAGGAGGTAAGCCCTTCGGCTCGGGCCGCGCCGAAGGGCGGCGGGAGTGCCTATCCGGGCAACGCTTCGGGCGCGGCCTGGGCCGGGTTTTCCCCCCCGCCCCCCCCTTCATTCGGGAGCCAAGAAGGGGGTGTCCAAGAGGGGGGCGTGCAAATCATGACCGGAAGGGGGATGTCCAAGAGAGGGGGGTGTCCACGAGGGGGGTGTCCAAGAGGGGGCGTCCAAGAGGGGGGCGGGGACCAGGGGCGCAATGGAATGAGGAGAGGCGCCACGAAATCCGGGGAAATCTCATGGCCCCCGCCATGATATCTCCCCCCCCCCCCTTGTCCTCACCCCCCTCTCTGCCGCCCCCGACCTTCACGGAGAGGCGCGGTCCGAGCCGCGGGACCCGGGCCGGGCCTCCGCCCCCCCCCCGCCGCCCCCTCGGCGGTGGACGCACCTCCCTTTCGCACACCTCCCCTCAGCGACATCGGCCCGGGACCGAAGCCGACGGGCCCGGACCCGCAAAAAAATGACGGCCGCGACGCCATCTCTCGCGAACCGAAAAACCGGCCAAAGGTCTGCCCCCTCCCCCCGATCTTCACGGAGAGGCGTGGCGCCCCGAGCCGCGGCCTCCGGGAAGCCTCCCGCGCCCGCCCGCGAGGCCGTCGGGCCGAGGCTCGGGCCCCCAGCGGCCCCCGGGAGCTCACCGCGGCGCCTCGGTCCTCGCGCCCCGCGCCTCGACGCTGCCGAGGCGCCACGACGCCGTGGGCTCCTGGCAGGCCCGCCGTCCACGCAGGGCGGCTGCCGCATGGGCTCCCTGGGCGACTACACCCTGCGAAATGCTTAAGAAATCATGGGTTAAGAAATTCATGGTCTCAGAAATTGATGAATAAAACCCAGAACTTCGATCAACACATCTTGGGATTTACATTGAAAAGTTAAGAATAATCGAGACTTTGGACGAAAACTTAGGTTTTCTTAAGCATCGCCTAAGGTGTACACGTCGGTCGGAAGAAGTGGGCAGAAATATGAAGTAGGAGGGCGGCTGCAGCAGATTGGGTCCAGGTCCTCCCAGGGAATAGCAAAACACAGCAACAGCATGTCGATTCTTTCTTGCAGCAGGAAGGCGCTTGAAGTAGATTGGGATCTGGGAACCCAGAAATACCTACGTTTAACCACCGGCGTGTACAGACACCGACCCTGCCGTGCCGCAGCACGGGAGGAGACGGAAGGAGGAGGTGGCGGAGTCGGCCTCCTCAGGACTCAGGACTGCGGACGAGTTCGCGCCGCTGCGCCGACGCCCTCGAGCCCTCCCCCCCGCCGCCTGCGGGGGGGCAGGCAGCAAGCACCATGAGGCACAGGAGAGACAAGACAAGACAAGACACACTTACGATCCACTGAACTGCTACACGTGGCAAGCCAACAAAAAAAAAGGGCGCCTGGAAGTTGCAGTTGACCTATTCTGGATCTGTGTACGAGGCACAGGAGAGAGATGAGAAGGAAGAGTACGGCAACCCCTCGCGCGCGCGCTCTCGACTCTCTTGCGACTGCCGCTGCGCTCTCTTCGCCTGCCCGTGGCGTGCCCGCCTCGCCGCGGGGGGTGCCTCCTGGGGGTCGCCGCGGCGCGCCCAGGGATCTGTGGGCGCGGGCGGCCCCCGCGTGTAGCTCCAGCCAGCCTCCACGCCCCCCGAGCAGTCCCAGTTTGCCTCAACTAAAGGCAAATTAGGACACACAAATAAATACACACAAATAAAACTAGCCCCCATATTTTCCCATATTTTCTGGGTTTTTGTCTTCCCCCCCCACTGCCCATATTTTCTGGGGAATCGAGGATTCATTGTGTCTGTGTGTTTCCTCCCCTCCTGATCAACGCCCCCGAGTCGCTCCGCCCAGTCTCAACATCGCTCCGCGCTCCGCACCCCAGGGTGGAGGTGTTGAAACCGCCCCCGATCACTCGGGGGGCCTGTGGAGGCCAGCCGGGACTCGTCTGAGGTCGGGCACGTCTTCCTACAAGCGGGTTTAGGAAGAAAAATTAAGATAAGTATCACAAAAATGGAACAATCGAAAAATAGTCCCTGGGCTATGTTTTGTTTTACTATTTCCCTACCTAGGCTCTGCCTAGAAGGGTTCTTACTCTCTTGGCTTAAAAGGGCAAAAGCAAAAGCAAAGCAAAAGCAACAGCAAAGGTAACAGCAAACGCGCGGTACCCCAGTTGCGCTCCCTGGGTGCCAAGCAAAAGCAAAAGCAGGGGCAAAAGTGAAGGCAGAGCAAAAGCATGGCATAGCATAGCATAGCGTAGCATAGCATAGCGTAGCATAGCATAGCCTAGCCCAGCCCAGCCTAGCCCAGCATAGCATTGCGCAGCATAGCATAGCATAGCATAGCATAGCGTTGCTTTCCTAGAGGCTCCAACTCCTAGGTAGGGTCGCACTGGGATAATTTCGCATATTCTTGATGTAGCATGCCCGACTTAAGACTTGTCCTCGAGGCCTGTCGAGGCCAGCCAGGACTACCTGGGGGGCCTGTGGGGACTGTCTGCGCGCAACCCGCAGCCTGACTATAGCGTCCTCCTCCTCCTCCTCCTCCTCCTCCTCCTCACTCCGACAAACGAAGCCGTTTAGTAAACGCACCCACGGAAGGAATCGAACAGGGCAGGGCTGCATAGTAAACGCCCAGGGCCGTCTAGTAAACGCCAATGGTCGGGGTCAGGGTGCGCTTTCCTCCCTTGACCAGCGGCGGATGGCCTGCGGGCCGGGACGGCCGCCGCCTCGCGGCGCCATGGCGCGGCCGCGCCCGCCGCGGGCGGGGCGTGGGAGGACATCGGGTGCCTGCGGGTTCGGCGGCCGCCCGCCAGCGCCGCAGCAGTTCTCCGTCGCCGCTGCCCGTGGGCCCGTCCTGCTGCTCTCCCCCATGGCTGGTTTTCCTCCTCCCGATCGTCTCGCCCTCGCTCGGGCGTCCATTCCCCGTGCATTCTTCGACTGCGTGAGTCCATGTTGGTTTCGCAGGAAGGTCCCGCACAGCCGGACCTAGGGCAAAAAAGCACCCGTCAAGAACCTGAGACCCTCCGCCAGCCAAACTTGAACACACTCGAGGGTACCCTCCTCCAAGATGCACGACTGACACCCCACAAACACGAGGAACATGAAGGTTCCCCCCTCCGAACAGACCTCGCTCTTATACCTCGGTCCGACTGTATGTGAAGGGGCCCTGGGACACACACACACACACACACACATACGCACATGAAGACACACAAATGACAGGATCCCTCATATTTTCAAATATTTTCTGGGTTTTTGTCTTCCCCCCACTTCAGATGGTTTCCCATATGTTCTCTCGGGAATCGACGATTCCTTGTGTCTGTGTGTGTTTTTGTTCCCCTCCTGAGTATGGCCCTTGCCGCGCAAGGAGTGCACACGTCCGAGCGATGACCTGACCACCTACCAGACCACCCCAACCCAACCCGAAGACCCGAATTTCGGGTCGGGGGGGGGTAAGGGTTCCACATGTGTTTTTTCGACGTTTCCCGACCCCCCCCACACTGGAAATCGAGGGTAAATCTGAGCCTTCGGGTTGGGTTGGGATGGTTTGGTGGGTGGTGATTTCCCCAGCCCTTGGTTCGCCCGCTGGTCGACGCTTGTCTCCCCAGCCCTGGAGTGCGGAGCGTGCCTGGAGCGGCGCTGGAGGCGCCGCCGGCGGGGCGGGGGCTCCAGCGCCGACCCCCGAAAATCCGCGCAGACCTCCGATGGTCCATGCTCACGCCGGGATATTTGCTCCTCGGCGCTGGGCTTCTCCCCCTCCTCCTCCTCCTCCTCCTCCTCCTCCTCCTCCTGCTCCCTCCTCCTCCGCCTCCTCCTCCTCCTGCTCCCTCCTCCACGATTATTAGTATTGCTACTATTATTCTGGTGAATTCGATTATGATAGTTCGTTCATAGAATTATTACTGGATCCATGATGAGTATCAGTATTCCTACTAATACTGTTAGTCTTCGAATGTGTAACTAGTATTATGATTGTTACTCTTATTAGTGTTATTAGTCGTCTGCGTATTGCTATAACTATTGTGAACTGAAAATTCGTATTACTATTACTACGAATGCTGTTAATACTACTAGAACTATGATTATTGTCATCCTCCTTCTTCCTCCTCTCCCTCCTCCTCCTCCTCCTCCTCCTCCTCCTCCTCCTCCTCCAGGGTCCTTGCTCCTCGGCGCTGGGCCTCTCGCTTCTGCCCCGCGGCGTCCGACGTCAGCGGCGGCGCTCCTGCTGGAGGCTGGGCTGGACCGTGCTCGGCGGGCCCCTGGGGCGGGGCCCCAGCCAGGCCGACGAGCCCCACGGAGCCCGTGCGGCCAACACCCCAAGCGGCTACCCTGGGCTTCTCAGTAAGCGTCGGGGGGGATACCCCCCCCCGATGGGGAGGAGGAGGAAGAGGAGGAGGAGAAGGAGGAGGAGGAGGAAGAGGAGGAGGGGGAGGAGGGGAGGAGGGAGGGGAGGAGGAGGAGGAGGAGGAGGAGGAGGAGGAGGTGGGGGGAGTGGGGACGAATACACGGGGTTTCTGAATGAGCGTGGGGGGTATCCCCCCGGCGGGGGTCAACCTCGCCTCGCCGTCGCGACGCGACGGGGGTCCGAGCGCCTTCGGCGCGCGGCGGCTGCCCGCGACGGGGGTCGATGTTGGTGCTGTGGGCGGGGGGGGACGCCCCCCCCCCGACGCTTATCAAGAAGCTCGGGGTACGGTCGATGATCGTCAAAGCGCGTGGGCGAGCCAACGAATGACTGTCCCCCGAAGCCTTTCCAGGCGGCGCAGGGCGGCGCAGGCGGTGTGGTGAGGGCCCCGCACGGGCTGCGAGCTGTCGGTGTCCCTCCTCTCCTGCTCCTGCTCCCCGTGCTTCTCGGCCTCGTCATCCTTGCCCATCCACCCCCCCTCGGGCACACGCTGACATGCATCTGTGGTTCTGGCGCGTTGGGGCCAGAACCACGGATCGTGGAACATAGCCCCCCCGAGCACGAAATCAGTGCCGCCAGATGCTGTGTTGGAGCGCTTCGATGTTGCATGGAGGCGGGACCCGTCGCTAATCCACGCGCATTAATCCAGGAGGACGAGGACCTCGTCCTCCTCGTTCGTTATCATACCTATCTCCCTCCCCCTCTTCTTCGTTATCTGCCTTCCTTGTCCATTTCCGATGCGTCTCGTCCTTCCTCTCGTATCCATTAGCCGCCATGCTCGGCCAAGCACTCCCTGTATGATCCACACACACACACACGCCCTGCTCGCCCGAAACAATAAACGCTATGCTGATGTGTGCGCGCTGTGCGCCCCTGAATGTTTGCGGAACTCGTTTATGCACCTCCTGGTCAAGATCCTTCTGCTCGCCCTTCTCTCCCCCGCAGCGCCAAAATACACGTCGCCGAGCTCATGACCGATCTCCCCATCCAGCGAACGCCTGTTTCTTGCTAGCGTGCGGGCGGCCCGAAGGGCGGTTGAAGCGAGAACGGGTGGGTGTCATTGCCAGTTCTGGCAGAACGTCATGATGATGAGGAGGAGGAGGAGGAGGAGGAGGAGAAGCGGGAAGAGGAAGAGGAGGAAGTGGAGGAGGAAGAGTAGGAAGGTGTGGAACAATAGCGTTAAGGATGATGAGTATGGGCGGGGAAGAAGGAAGGCGCAAACACATCATTCGGTGGAAGCGGACGACGACCATGAGCACGACGAGAAGAAGGGATCATGTGAAGGAAGGGGAGACAGGGGAGCCGAGAGCGAGCGAACGGAGGGGCAGAGAGGCGCGGGACGCGGCGGGTGCCGGGGGGAGGGTGGGGCGTGGACGAGGACTGCAGACGGCTGGGGAGCGGACGAACCACGGAGCGTGGGGGGGGGGGGGGGCGACGGAGGAGGGCCGAGGGACGAGGGCGAGGAAGGGATGGGAGTGTGAGTTGTTTGTTTGTTCTCTTCTAGGAGTTTGCCGAACACCTCCACATCACTGGAAGATGCAAACCATACCTGATGTGCACCCGCGTTGAAGCCCTTGCCGCGCACCCTCTGGTCTAGGACTGAGCATGCCCACTCTCTCGGGCACCCCTGGCCCTGTCAATCTCCGGCGTTTCGGCGTGTGGCTGAGGCGCCGGGTGCCCCTGGCGCGACAGCTGTCTCCGAACCCTGGGCCGTGGGCTGCTGCCCTGGAGCCCCGAGGCCTGGCACCCGCTGCGCGCCCATGGCCTGCCCGGCAGCGTCCGCTGCCCCTGGCGCCACGTCTCTCCGCGCCTTGGGCCGTGGGCGGCGCCAGCCGACCACACCGACGCCTGCCGGGCCCAGCCTGGGCGTAAGTCGGGCGTGTCCCCCTACAGGGGGATTTTCGACGGAAAAGAAAAAATACCCCCCAAATAGTCAAAAAATAATCCAAAATAAGTCTGGGGACTATTGTTTTGAATATTTGTTGGCCTTTTTGGGGCATTTTGGGGGTATGTTCTATCTTTCCTCGAAAATCCCCCTGTAGGGGGACAGGCCCGACTTAAGCCTTAAGCCCGGGATCTGCAACACACGCGCTGCAGGCCTGGCCAAGGAGGCACGTGCACGCCAGCCCTGGGCACAGGGTCCGCTTGGCCAGGATCGGTGAGGTGGCCAGCTGACGTCCCCCGATGGACCGGCGTCGTGCGCTGTGTCGGGGCGAGGCTCCACGACGAAGGTCCTGGACCCCCTCCCGGGGACGGGCTTCTCAGACCCCAGTCGTGTCTTTACGGCCCTGGGGCCCGCCATGCTCCTGCTCGTGGCGCGAGGTTGTCAGGCCCTCCGGCCCAGAGCCCGAGAAGCCCCCGAGAATGCCCCCGTCCCTTCGTTTGCAGCCCCCAGTTTTGGCCCCCGGAGCGCGCCGTGGCGAAAACAACATGATCTGGTCGAAGGACCCAGCCGTATGCAGTTGTGAGCACCGCTTTGTGGGTACTGCTCTCGGTGGAGCTCCTCATGAGGCCACGAAACCTGTTAGAAATGTGCCCTAATAGGTGAGGGAGATGCGTGCGACCGAGGTCACTGGGGTCGTCGGTGGAGCTCCCTATGGGGCCACGAAGCGCTGTACTGCGTGGGGGGATGCATGCGGCCGCGGCCACTCGAGTCTTCGGTGGAGCTCCCCATTGGGCCACGAAGCAGTGCATGCGGCCGCGGCCACTGGGGCCGGTAGAGCTCCCTATGGGGCCACGAAGCAGTGTATTGGGTGCAGAAAACGCATACGGCCGCGGCCATGGGTGTCCTCCGTGGATCTTCCTAGGGGGACACGAAACGGTGTGGTGGGCGGGGGAAAACGCATGCGAACTTCCTAGGGGGACACGAAACGGTGTGGTGGGCAGGGGAAAACGCATGCGAACGTCGCCTCTGGGGCCTTCGGTGGAGTTTCCTGTCGGGCCACGAAGCGCAGTACTGTGGGGGAAACGCGCGCAGGTGTCGGCCCTGGGGCCTTCGGTGGAGCTCCCTATGGGGTCCCGAAGCGCTGTACTGGGCGGGAGAAACGCCTGCGCACGTCGCCTCTGGGGCCTTCGGTGGAACTGAACACCCTTTGGGGCCACGAAGCGCTGGACTGGTTAAAGCACACGCATGCGTACGTCGCCTCTGGGGCCTTCGGTGGAGCTCCCTGTTGAGCCACGAAGCGGCAAATTGGGTGGGGGAAACTCATGCGAACGTCGCCTCTGGGGCGTTCCCCGTGGGGCCACGGAGCGTACTGGGTAGAGGGAACGCATGCGGGCGTCGACTCTGGGGCCTTCGGTTGAGCTCTCTACGGGGCCACGAAGCAGTGCACTGGGC